TCATTTCGGCCGTAGGTTTACGTCAACTTGATTTTATTTGTGCTCACTGGGTATGTTGCCATCACCTTACTGACAACTTGCCGTCAACTTCTGAATTAACAACTGTTGGTGACAATTTGCTGCCAAGTTGGGGAAAAAAAGTTCTCAGTTAGCACAAGTTGACAATCAACTAGTTGATGTTCAATGACATACGTCAACTTCGCGTCAACTTTTGCATTTGCAACAGTTTCCCAGAACTTGACTTTAACTTACGCATCAAGTTAGCATAAATCTACTGCCGGAATTTTCCGAAAGGTTCGCTCAAAGTTAACGCAAAGTTGCAGAAAGTTAACGTTAACTTCTTCAATACGTCAACAGTTATAAGAATAACTGTTGCTCTACTGTTAGCGTAAACTTTACGTCAAATTCCGGCCGCAGGTTTACGTGAACTTCGTTTCAATTGTGCTAACTGGGTGGCTATCCAGGTATACTCCAATTTTGTAGGGTAGCATGCTCACCGCCGATAATATAATTCTCAATTGTTCTTTTCATGATTTCTTTGCTCGAATATCTCAAAAAAGAATGAAGGTTGTGTTTTTGAGCTCGAATAACTCAAAACTTCGGAATAAATAACTATTTTTAACCTTTTGTACATAGTGGGAAGCTCCAGGGATAGCCTGCAGTGTCAACTGTTTTCCAGATTTTTTTTCAGTGTATTCAATAAAATGAAATTTATTACACTTACTGTTTGAAATGATTTAGAGGTATATGGAAAGTCTAATACGCTGCAAATTATCAGTCGAGTGATTTTGGAATAGTCGATTATGTAAACTGTGCGATAAATTATTTTTAAGAATAATAATAAACTTGTCCGAGGAAACAATCACTGAAGTGCAGCTGCCCAATTTTAAAACACAGTAACTGCAAAATTTTTATACCTGATTTTTTTTTAGTATTGCTGCATTTTTTTATAACTTTTGAACCTTTTTTTTAATAAGAAAAATTGAAAAAAATTTTTAAATGTTAGTTACTGTGTTTTGAAATTGGGCAGCCGAGTGGATCGTATAAAAATTGTAGGGCCATTTTTTACCATTTTGACATTGACCTATGTTATTCTGATAAATTGTTGTTGAAAAACGTACCGTGGCAATGATTATTACTGACCTTGAATTACTTCTTTAGAGACAATTTTTTGATGCAACTTTATTTTATGAAATATTTTTTTTTAATCAATGCTTTATTTGAAACAAAAGAAATGGAAAGAAGGTACGTATCAACCATGAGGAATTTTTTCTCAAGTAAAATTAAAAAATACAAGGATTCTAAGCGTGTTTACATTGATCTTATTATAAAAAAAACCAAAAAAAATATATTCAGAGGTTTTCTCACAACGACTGATTAATTTGAGTATTAATAATTAATAAGTTACTCAATAATATCTGTTCAAATAGATACATCTGGACTTACAAGTATATCTACAAATGTATGTGTACTGATACTTTGATAACTTTTCTTGTCAGGATTACGAAAAAAGAAAAAAAAAAATAAAATCAAGCATTTGTAAACAGAATTACAAAAGAATTGTTAGATTATATATTTCACTTGTGATAATTATTATAATAAAAATCTTTTATTATATCATATAAACTCATTATTATGGCTTTAGTTATTGATACAATATTGAAAATTATAAATCATAAATAATTTTAACTTTCCGTTTTTCATGCAGAGACTTTTGACTTGAGAGAAGAATTATTTGAATTATCGCGTCCACAAACCGCGTTATATAATGTCAATGTGCTTGTTTGAAAATGATTTAGATGACATTCTGCTTCTTATATTTTTGTTGTAATTATTGAAAAGTAAATTTATTATAGGTAAAATTAAAAAGAAGTTTCTAAGCTGTAAAATGGGATGCAGAAAAACGATCTATCATTTCTTAATGAAAAGTTATTCCCTAGTAAAGTCACCAAACACGTGATTTTTTACATTTTCGAAAATTTCAAATGACTACTATTTCTAAACGATTTGATGGATTTAGCTCATTTTTTAACTCATTCAAGCTAATTGTCTGTAGAATAAAGTCTGCCAAGTTTCATGAAGATTCATTAAAAATTGAGAGAGTCATCATATCCACAAGCCGCGCGTTACATTAGATAAATATATATATATATATATATGATTTTATGAAATCTATCTAAAAATAAAAAATTTATTTTATGAAAAAAAAACCTGAAACTAAAAAAATCTCAATTTGCAGTTCTTGAAAAATTATAGACAGTGATTGAAGACTTAAAAGTAAGTAAATCTTTTAGCTTTATTTTACTATAAAATTACATTGTTATTATTAAAATATTTATTTATTAACTGTGAAATTCACCATTCAGAATCGCAACAATCTTATTACTATAAAAAATTCAATATTCCCATTTCAAGTTAATAACTTTTATCCACTTTTGATCAGATTACTTCGTTTAAAATGGAAAACAAACTTTCCACTATTATATTTCCTATATTTTTCTAGTGAATTAAACCAACCGCCGAAAATTTTCCAATATTATCCAAGAGATGATAACTCACGACATATCTATATGTAACTTATAATGAACAGGTGCGAAAAAAAGAAAACTTTTTCAATTTGATTCAATAATTACGTTCTATGCATAACATAAGCTTTCAAATATCTTTTTATATACAGATTCACATATACATTTGTATATAACAGACATAAGTCTAATTTTTGATAGTTATAAATTAAATTTCAGTAAAAAGGAAAAAAGACAGGGAAGATGTTTTCAATAACAACCAATAAACAAATAATAAAATTAGTTGAGTGCCCTAATGAAGAATCGAACTCGAATATTCTCCATTATAGTAACTTAAACCAATAGTCAAGAAATTTATTTTTATTACTTCAATATTCTGTTAGTTCTAGTGGATTTCATTACATAATTTATTTATTTACTTTTTTTTTATATTTTAATATAACAAACAATATTTTAAAAATATAAATTTTCTTACATAAAATAAGATGCATAAATTTAATATTTCAAACCTATATATAACATCAACAATTTTGATATTTATATCACCTTCATTTTAACAAAAATTATATTATAATTTTTTACTCACAATTGCTTTCTTTTCATTCAGAATCCTTAAATTTTCTCTATTTCCAATCATATCCGGTTACATATTGACATATACGTAAACATATACCCGAAATTTAAGAATTAAATACATGAGAAGTATGAGGGAAGACGTGGGGGAATTGTGATTTTTGATCAGTGGGGATGGCTAAAAGGTGAAGTGACAGAAATAATTACGTCACTTATAGTATCCATTTGTCCATAAAAAAAATATAAGATTAATTTCATTTCAATTCTTCTCATTAAAACGAACCGATGCATAGTATTTCTATAATACTAACGAATTGCTACAAAAATAAACTTTCTTACTTATAGTTTTTGTTTATACAAAAATTATTTTAACACATTGGTATTTGTTAAATTATGATCACAATTACCCACTTCCCCATAAGAGCAATATTTAATACCGACTTTTAATAATTTTTTCTTTAAAAATGAACGGTTACCTATTCGGAAATTCTAACAGTGAATTCTTTGAAGCAAAATTTATACAAAAAAAAAAAAAAATTGGGTCCCTAAAATCGAAAATTGTGGTTATTCTTGTTTAAGGTAGTACTGATCGCAGAATTACTGTTATAATTCAATAAAATTCAATAAAATTTGGTCCCACTGAATTTTTGACGAGCTACAAACAACCACACTGAAAAAAAAATTAACTTGAATCAAGAGAAAAATTCTTGAATCAAGTAAAATTAACTTAAACCAAAAAAAATTTCTTAGTTTTTAAATTTTTCTAACTCAAATTCAGAATATAAAGTTCTTCAAAATTATTATACTTGATTCAAGTGTAAATTATTTTTTCTGTGCAGTTAAAAAATATTTAACTTTTAAAGCTTTCGCGTTTACCATTGAGTCTTATGAGAAATCACAGGTTTTATTTTATTTTAAAAAAAGTACTATTCAGAATTAAATGAAAATTGAAAGATTAAAGGAAATTAATATTTAAATATTTTTTATATTTTAAAGTATTACAGATTCAGAGCATATGACTGTATTAATTAATTTAATAAAGACTCTAAAAGTTGTTTCCGTCACTCCGTCCAACGCTAAGTAGCAGGAGGTACGTCTACTACGTAAATCAAACGAGACTTAGAATTTTATATCTGATTTGCAATATCGATACACGGAGAGAAATTTATAGGAATCTTTCCAACAATTATGGGAATGGATCCTATAATAAAATTATCATTATAGGCATTAATCCTATACTCATTATGGGAACCATACCCATAATTTATTGGAAACGTTCCTATACAATAATGGAATAGCTTCAATATATTATGGGAATCATGCCGATATTACAGTTTTAATTATAGGTATCGTTCCTATAATTATAGGAACCATTCCCATAATTATAGTAACGTTTCCCAAAAATTATGGGTATAATTCCCATAATTTAAGTAATCGCTCCTAAAATGGTATAGGAAAATATTTCATTAAAATTATAGGAATGATTTCCATATTTTTCTCTCCGTGTAGTACTAATTTGATGTCTTTCAGAGTTATAATTTTTTTCGCGGGGTATGTCACAGTATTCTCGTTCAGTCGTTAGTTACTATGAAGATGCGTTTTATACTGCTAATTAATTATAATTATAATTAGATATTAAAAAAACAAATCATAATGTTAATAGTATTATTTAGTGATATTAAAAATAACGTCTTTGGAATTACATTTGAGAATGTCTTAATCACTAGATATTTAGTTTATGATTCTACTAGACTTTATCCTAATTACGTGAAACGCGAATTGAAATGAAATTTCTTAAAAAGGTAATAAATATAATTATCCATTATCTATTCATTGTTAGCAAGTAATTGATGAATTATGCACCATACAAAGACTAAATTTACAAAGACGTATAAATAAAGATTACTTAATTGATTTATCAGCATTATGATTGTTAATATTAACACGAATTCGTAAATTATTGTTAAAACCATTAATCAATTCATAATCATTGAAATCGTTAGTAAAATTTTCTTTGTTTGGTTTTCGCGAGTTACTATATTTATCATTATTATTATTATTATTATTCTTATTATTATTATTGTTATTATTACTGTATATATTTGCAGTCTTTTCCTCTTCAACTGATTTAGGTAAATTTTTAACAGTTTTTTTAGTGTAAGATTCTTCATAAAAAGATTTGAAAAGAAAAAAGAATAGAATTGCATGTAATCCAATCCATCCAGCAAATGCTTTAGGATAATCACATTTTATAAATAGTAACTGGAATGCGTGGATCATAATTAGAACAAATTGTGTAATTTGAAGAGCGGTCAAATACTTTTTCCACCATAAATATGGCTTTACACGTGGTCCAAGGGCAGCAAGTAAGTAATATCCATACATCACTATGTGAACAAATGTGTTAAGTAGACCGAAGAATGTTGAATGACCACCTAATACATTATTAACATTATTAAGAAATACATTAAACGTAATAATAATTATAATCAGAGAAACAAATAAAATATAATCACCAGGAATAAACTTAACGCCAACCCACGTGGATAATGGCATTATTCCATGATGTATAACGTGAAGAGCAGATATTTGATTGTTTTTCTTCCGCAGTACGAAAAAAAGTGTATCGAGAAGTTCTGTAAATTTGGATATATAGTACCACCAGCTACTACCCGCCATCCTTAATGCCTTTGGATTTGTTGAATAATCTACAGGCTGACATCTAAAAGAATAATCATTCCACCAACCAGAGGCTAGCCCCTGAAAATTAAAGTAACCAATTTTTGAAAATTAAATAAAAAAAAAAAACATTACATCGGGTATAGAGCTAAAAACGAACTTTTTTCGAATATCTTCTACGAAAATTTTTTAGCTTATAATGGTTCAAGATCTCTCACAAAAAATCAGCTTCATTAATAGTATATATCATTATATTATTAAAACTATATTGTATATATTACGGTCTAAGGCCAAAAATTTTAATTATCTGGTGTATGTAGTATGATAGCAGAGGTGAAACAGAGGATCTAAAAATTTGATCATGAATTGACAACTATTTGTATTTATTTCCGACTGAAAGTATACTCATTATTTAATGTTAGCTTATAAAATGGTTCGTGAAATCTCACTTGTAATCGGCTGTCTTTAAACATGCATTCCTTTTACTTTTGCGGCCTGCTTTAATGTGCCCTCTGGGCATTAAGAACATTTGTAAAAGACACTAAAAATGTAGAGAAATAGATTCCAAACAGTTATGAAACGAAAAAATAAATAAAATTCAGAAATCGATACAAATTTTTTCTTATATATAAACAAAATCTAATATTTATTATTTAGAAAATAATATTATTATTTAGACATCAAGACATCAGCAAATGAAGATTAAGGGGGTATTCTGGTCTAGAAATTTGAAAAATTCGAATTTTTTTTTTTTGCATATTTCCAAAGTTTAGACCCTTAAAAATATGTCCTTAAGTGGATCTTCAAAATTCGAATTATTTTCGGAGATACAGTGGATTTTGTGACGCAGCTGCTTCTGTTTCTGCGAACTTCTGCTTCTTCAAAAGAAGGCAGAACAGTTCGATTAGCAGAAAGAACTTCGCAAAACATCGAGTAGGAAGTAGAAGAAGGCCCAATTTATAGATCTGGGATTCGCGATTAATCCAAAGTGAATATTAAATATTATTATGAGTTATTCTACTGAAATTGTTTCTCAAACTTTAAACGTGATTTTTTCAAAACTACTTTTTTTGAAGTGGTTGACATGATATCTCAAGTTCTACCCTACCGATTCCTTTGAAATTTAGTGGAAATTTGCTTTATATATCTCTCTATCGCGTCTGCCTTGGATTTTAAAAAATTTCAATTTGGAGTATTTTTAAAAAATTCGAAAAAGGGTAAAAAAAAATTGATATTTTATGTCGACGCCATTTTTAAATTTTTTTTTTTTTGCTAAGGTCAACGCGATAGCGACATCTTTACAGATTGAAAATTTTTCAATTTTTTTTGTTTCATATCACTACAAGGGCTGGAATCATGTCAACTAGAGTGCACCGTTTTTTTTGTAGCTCCACTTCACCGGCTTGTAATTTGTCAAATTTATCATTTTTTTTTTTTCAATTTTTTTTTTATATTCTTGAAATGTCAATAAACATCATATAAAAAAACGTATAGTAAAAATGTTTTTCATTTTTTTTTATGTTAGTTTGAAAAATGCCTAAAATTTAGGCTTCTAGACCAGAATACTCCCTTAAAAAATTAACCATAAGGATTTGTTTTACACCCTTTTATATTATTCATTGAAGAAATATTTATTTCCGCATATATTTTGACGAGAATTAATTGAGGCTAGATACTTAAACTTAGATCCGAAAACTCTGTATTGCTTATTAATGTTCTTAATGAGCATATATATATATATATATATATACATACTTTTTTTAAAGAATATTTTTTAAGAAGACTTTTAAGTCGTCAGCGCTCATCTTATGAGCATTTCGTTCACATTTAGATATTCAAAAAATAATATATTTTTGAGTCTAGACTTAATGTTTAAAATTAAATAAAATTGAATGAATTTTTAATTTCTAACTTACCTCATAAAATAGCCAAGCTGAAAAAATTACTTGAAATAAATTATAGATTATCATAGTTCGTTTGAGAGAAAAGGGTTTACGATTTTCCATCAATTTTGGACCCATAACTTTACTGAAATAACCGTAACAAATACAAATGGCAAGTGTAGGAAGTGGGCTACTCATCATGAACCAGTTGTTGACTCGTGGATCCGATTTTTCATCCATTATATGGTGGTAATTATCTGATATTGCTTTCAACATTACCGCCATCTGCAATTTCATCAATAATACTCAAGATAATGTTATTTTGCACTTTAAAAAAATTGTGTTAAAAATCGACTCAACTCAACACCAAAAATTTTAATATCTACACCGATTTTTTTTTACAGTGGGCGTAAGAAAAAGAATTATTTAAAGAATGTATGAAATGCATCGCAAATCTTCGCTAATTATAAATTTAGTGTAGGACTTGTAGAGCCTTATTGCTACAGGCATTAAATAAAACTATGCACGCGAAAGGTATTACACATACTAGTTATATTTAATCCTCGCATTAAAAACAAAGGCAAATATCTAAAATTTTAATTAAAGTTATGGTTAAAAATAGTATGTACACCACGAAAGAAGGTAGAATATCTTAATCCACATGTACAATCTTAGACACGATTTTGTATTAATTGGATTTATTCTTCTGAATTCATTTTTTAGAAAGAAATTTAGAATATAATTCAAGATAGACAGAAGAATACAGAAGAATCAATTCAATGCAAAATATATATTTATGTATATGAATACATGTTAAACGTCGTTATATTCATCAATCGACCAATAACTTCGAGATATTTATAAAAATATGTACATAAATATATAATTGTCACAATACAATGACCTCATTGTTCTTATTTTTTTGTTCTACAGACATAAATCAGTTATTCATAGGGTTTGTCAACCTTATTAAAATTTAAATTATATTTTATGCTGACATAATATAACGTAATTAAAATAGTAAGCAAATTCAATAATTATCAATGATTTAGTATGAATGCAATATTATTTTTGCAATGTATTGTCAGGAAGTATAAGCTCTCTTCAACTGATACATTGTGTGGTACTTATTTAAATAACAGCAGTAACAAAAGCTATTATAATCACCGGGTATGAATATTCATAACACGCGCGTATTAAATGGTTTACCCGGTTTTTACCACGTGCATGAAGTTTATCACGTAATTATTTGCACTAAATTGTTAAATTATTACTTTTATAGAATAAATTTTTTTTTTTCATGAAAGTTATAGAACATGATATATTTTTTTATATTATTCATCGGAAATGTATTTGTCTACAAAAAAATCACTTTTCATCTGATTATTTCGGTAATTTCAGCTAAAAATTAGTGAGTTTTTAATTAAAAAAAAAAAAAATTTGGGAACCAAAAAAACAATTTTGCAAACTAGAAAAGATTAGATTGTTGTTAGAAACATTAATAATGGTAATGAAAACAAGACGTTTATAGATGACTTGACTGAACTTATTTTGTAAACATTATTCACCTGCTGCTACAGTATAAAATATTTTTTCAATGTCACGTTTACAGTTGAAACAAAATTAAGAATTCGAATATATAAATTAAAGTTAGCCTCTTTAATGCCCATACCTATTTACATTTCTGAATTTAATTCATGTTATAAAAATGCTCCAGTGCCGGAAGTATGTTAAAACATTTTAGACGTCAAGCATACTAAAATAAAATAATATAAAATATTTTGATAAATAATTCTTTACTTTGATTTGTAAAATTAAATTTTTCAAAACAAGCTTATCTTTAATCATTTTTATCATTGCAAAAATAAACATTTTCATACAGAGAAAAATTTCAGTCATGAATAATATTTCACTTAAAGTTATTCGTTAAAAATAATTAAAGAAAAAAAAACATTTTCATGTGAATATCAATGATTCGACATCGCTTTAGATGTCGTCACAATCAAAGAGAAAAAATTTTAATTGTCTACAATAATCGTCATAATATTTTATGATTTCAGTGACACCTAAATATTGGCTACACAGTAAAAATATTTTCATCGTTGCTTTAAACCAAGTTTACCTTAAAAATTTTTAAGATAAACATTTAACATGAAGTATATTGACTGAACATAACTTGTTATGAATAAACGCACGAAAATGAGAATATTTGACATGCAAATTTAAACAAAAACAAATGACAAAAAATTGTTTCCTCTTTACTTTGCTAAAAAATTGGATTACCCTGAAATACTTGAAAAAATAACTAAATTAATTTCCAAGGCTAATGCAAACTACATAAAACTTGCTAGACGAACCTCTATTTATATTATAAAAAATTTCTGATTTAGATTGCTTATTTAGAAAGTTTAAAAGTTTGTTATTGTTTTTCATAACACCTAACTACATATTGGAAGAACATATTATCTATTAAGTATATTTTGCATTTAATTTATTTTAACTTTTATTCAGCATATTTCTTTGTAATATTTACAAGATAAAGCAAAAGACAAAGATAAAGAACTGGAAACTCGTTTTTTACAATCTAATGCCATATAATGAACGAATAAATAGTGGTTTATGCTATTATTCGAAGAAATATTTCTAACTGACTGATATATATATATATAAAAGAAAACAAAGATCGAATTTTTCATATTAATTAATCAAATTATTGTAATAATGATTGTACTCCAATTAAGTTTATTAGATTAAACTATGAGATGTCTATCGCAAACGATTCACAAAGCGCTTGACGCGTTATTTCAAGGTGATTCACAATTGAAAATAAACAATGTTATCAATACCGATAATTCTACAAATTAGCGATTTAAATTATTTCACTAAAATTTTTGTGCTATGAATAATGAAAGCAAAAATTCAATTTGAATTTTTAAATATTTAAATCTTAATATTTTTGCCAATTGTGTAATACAGGAGATTTAATGTTATCATTTATATGAGTGAATGTATGAATTCATTTAAATAAAGGATAGTTTAAAAGTGTCAGGATAATTTTTTAAATGTATATTTAATTTAAAGAACGATTATTGCAAATTTATTTTTGAATATTAATAATTACCTTATCAGCAAAAAGTTAATTTTATACTTAAATTGAATTATTGTTTTATCTTATTTATTTTTTGTAAAAATTAATGTGTTAAAACATTTTTTTAAAGTGTACTATAAATTGTTTAAATGTTTTTTAAAAATTCATTTACCTTTATTCGAATTTATGTATTATTATTAATTATTAATAATTTAAACTGATTCACAAAAAGTTTTAGCGAAGAAAATTAATTTTAATCACTTTTTTACAAGCACAGTTCTTCTTTGTTTCATTAAAATACTTAAAACAGAATCAATAAGTAAAATACAATAAATATAATAAATGTTTTTTTTTTGTATAACAGCGAATAACGAAGAAATAAATAAATAAATAAATATGTATATTTACAATGAAGCAACACAACGGACAGTAGCCAACTGACTTTTTAAAGTTAAAACGGAGCCTTATATCTCCTCCGTGAAACAAACACGCTGAGAAGGTAACACATACAGTGGACCTGTACAATCTTTTCCCACTAACAGAAAATTCCATCTTCGCAAATATAAATCTTTTTTTTTTAATTAATGTTAGTCAATTAAATCATAATTATCAAAGTATTTTCTGTTAAGTATTTTTTCTACTATATTTCGTGTAAATGCAATAAAAAATTATAGGTTCCTATGTGCGTTTATATCACGCAAGTATTTCTTTATACTCCTAGATCTTTCTAGATTTTCATACCCTACTCTTTATCTCAGTGATTATAATTTGCACGCTTAATAGTAATGCTATTGACACTAAAGAAATACAGCTATATAATTCTCCAATTACGAAAAACTTAATATTTCATTTATTTACGTTTTGCTGAAAATTATTATGATTTCTTATATTATTATTTCATGACAAATGTCTATATCTTGAGAGCAAATCCATAAAAAGTTTATTTAAATTATTTTGACAATAATTTCATCACGTGCGCGTTCGTTTCTGTTCATGAAACGTACATTTACATTTTCTCGGTGGTTCAAACAGGACTAGTGGGTATAATCACAGTAATTTTCGAGATTCTGTGTATATGTGTAGTCACGTTTGTATTTGTATTTGTGTAAGCTACTGAACCAATTAATCTCAAAATTTAATCATCTTAAAAACATCGGTCACTGTGTTGAATGCTGCAAATTTATTAAAAGTTGGCTGATTTTTTGCCAATGAAAAAGATTTTAAGTTTCTCTAACTATTATCCGCAATCGTCTTCAATAATTAATATTGTACGCCTCTTCACGTACTCATCAAATAAAAGCTAACTAAAAGATTTCCTGTCAACTTCATGGACAATGAAATATAAAAACTGTATTTATCGAAAAGGAGTTTTCCAATTAAGTATTTTTTAATTTCGTCATCTCTTGTTGAATATTACTATTATGATGATTATTGTTTGGAGAAAAGTTTGGAAAATCCATGCAAAAGTGCACGCCTCATACTCTCATTTTTCACAATAAAATTGATTAAAATAAAATATAAAAAGCAAAATAATAAAAAACAGAAAACTCTGCTATGGTTTAGTGGCGCCATAACTGTACGGTGAGGAAAAAAAAATACTATAATAAAATGTATAGATAGATATACAAAAAAATCCACAGTCATATATTAGTTTTTTATAAATAATAATTTAACGACAGTGAATTGAACGCTCATATTAATTAGGAAAATCCTTCGTGTGTTACTTTAGATAATAAAAAAAAAATTATTTCGGTACGATAATTTTTTCGACCAATTTCCCTGCCACATACACCCATCCATACACGGACGTCCAGAAAAAATTATGTTAAATGTTATTATTTACTATGTTAAACAAAAAAATTGTTATTGAAATATATTTTATGTGCCTGACAAATTATTCGACTTGATATAAGTGTACTCATATTAACCTATAAGTGCGATATAAATAACAAAAAATCAATTTCAGTTTCGAGAAAACTGCTTTTTCTCAGCGCTTCGCTTATGAGGCGTGCAATAAAGAAAATTTTGTAAAAGGGATATATCATCATTATAGAATAGGTTTCTATCGTTAAATTTGGTATAATTAGAAAGGTTTTGACCTTAATATCTACATTTTCATTGTTTTGTATGTTTTTCGATGATGTTTGATTTTTTGTATTAAGTTTTTGAAGCAAAAATATAGAAAAATCATTGAGCCGAAGTTTTTTGT